GTATCGGTCCCCGATGCCGTAGACCCTTGACTTCTGAGCAACAAAAAACACAACAAAACACACAACACCACCACACCAAACACCACCAAACACACAAAAAAAACACGCAAAACCACAAATAATTTACGAGATGGAGTATCGGTCCACGATGCCGTAGACCCGCGGCTTCTCGAGCAACTTCTGAGCAACAAAAACACAACAAAAACACACAAAAAAACCAAAAAACACAAAAACACACAAAAAACACCACCAAAACACACAATAAACAACAAAAAAACACAAAAAACACACAAAAGCACAAATAATTTACGAGATGGAGTATCGGTCCACGATGGAGTATCATAACCATATTACAACAAAAACAACAACAATAAAAATAATTTACGAGATGGAGTAGACCCGCGGCTTCTCGAGCACCAAAAAAAAAACACCAAAAAACACTAAAACGCCCCACAAAAAAAAACAAAAAAACACCAAAAAAACACACACAAAAAAAAACAAAAACACACACCCAAAACATCAAGAAACAAAAACAAAAAATAAACAAAAAACACCAAAAAACACTAAAATAATAATAACAACAACAACAAAAATAATTTACGAGATGGAGTATCGGTCGACGATGCCGTAGACCCGCGGCTTCTCGAGCAGCCTCTGGGCGTCCGGGTTGAGGAAGGTGGCCACGGACCCGTTGGGCTGCACATGGGTCACCGTCGGCTCGATCACCTGGTCGATGATGTGCAGGTACTGGAAGAGAGGGAGAGGGGTGAGTGGGGTGGGTGGGGTGGGTGGGAGGGGAGTGGGGGTGGGTGAGTGGGGGAGTGGGGGTGGGTGGGAGGGACTAGTGGGAGGTTCGATCACCTGGTCGATGATGTGCAGGTACTGGAAGAGAGGGAGGGAGAGGGGTGAGTGTGGGTGGGAGGGGGTGAGGGAGGGAGGGGGAGGGGGAAGGGGGGGAGGGAGGAGGGGGTGGGGTGGGAGGAGGGAAGTGGGGTGAGAAGGTGGAGGTCCGATCACCTGGTCGATGATGTGGAGGTACTGGAAGGGAGGGAGAGGGGTGAGTGGGGTGAGTGGGGGTGGGTGGGAGGGGGAGTGGGGGTGGGGTGGGAGGGACTAGTGGGAGGTTCGATCACCTGGTCGATGATGTGCAGGTACTGGAAGAGAGGGAGGGAGAGGGGTGAGTGGGGGTGAGAGGGGTGAGTGGGGTGGGTGGGGTGGGGGTGAGTGGGGGAGTGGGGGTGGGTGGGAGGGGTGAGTGGGGTGGGTGGGGTGGGTGGGAGGGTGAGTGGGGTGGGTGGGGTGGGGGGGTGAGTGGGGGTGGTGGAGGGACTAGGGGAGGTTCGATCACTGGTCGATGATGTGCAGGTACTGACAGAGAGGAGAGGGGTGAGTGGGGTGAGTGGGGTGGGGGTGGGTGAGTGGGGGAGTGGGGGTGGGTGGGAGGGACTATGTGGGAGGTTCGATCACCTGGTCGATGATGTGCAGGTACTGTGGAAGGGAAAGGGAGGGAGAGGGGTGAGGTGGGGTGGGGAGGGGGTGAAGGGAGGGAGGGGAGGAAGGGGGTGAGGGAGGGGGTGGGGTGGGAGGAGGGAAGTGGGGTGAGAAGGTGAGGTCCGATCACCTGGTCGATGATGTACAGGTACTTGGAAGACAGGGGAGAGGGGTGAAGTGGGGGGGGGTGAGTTGGGTGGGGCGGGAGTGGGGAGGGAGTGAGAGGGTGGAGGTCCGGATCACCTGGTTGATGATGTGCAGGTACTGGAAGACAGGGAGAAGGGGTGAGTGGGGGGGGTGAGTGGGTGGGGCGGGAGTGGGAGGGAGTGAGAGGGTGAGGTCCGATCACCTGGTTGATGATGTGCAGGTACTGGAAGACAGGGAGAGGGGTGATGGGGGGTGGGGGTGAGTGGGAGGGAAGGGGGTGAGTGGGAGTGGGGTGGGTGAGGTGGTGGGGTGGGGGTGGGGGTGAGGTGAGTGGGTGGTGGGGGAGGGTGGGGTAGCTGGTGGGTGGGTGAGTGTTGGGTAGTGGGAAAGGTTAGTGGGTTGGTGAGGGAAGGGAGGGTTGGGGGTGAGTGGGAAGTGAGTAGAGTGGTAAGGAGGGAAGGGGATGAATGGGGAGGGAAGATGGTGAGTGGGGTGAGAGGGTGAGGTCCGATCACCTGGTTGATGAGGTGCAGGTACTTGGGATAGAGAGGGAGAGGGGTGAGTGGGGAGGAGGGGGTAAGTGGGCAGGGGGGGTGAGGTTCGATCACCTTGATCCATGTGATTTGCAGGTTTATACTGGAATATGGGAGAGGAAGAGGGATTTAGTGGGAATGAGTTGGGTTAGCACGGGAGGGGGAGTGTGAGAAGGGGGGTAGGGGAAGTTTGATTGGGTGAGGAGTGGGGGGTGAAGAGTGCATGAGAGGGCCTACCACTAGTCTATGATGTCGAGTAACTGGAAATATGGAGAGAGGAATGAGTGGGGTGAGTGGGGGATGAGTGGAAGGAGTGGGAAGTGAATGAGGATATTCGATCACCTGGTGCAGGTACTGGAATAAGGAGAGGAGAGGGGGCTGAGTGGGGGCTGGAGAAGAGAGGGAGGAGGGGGCTGAGTGGGGGCTTGGGGAAGAGAGGGAGAAGGGGCTTGAGTGGGGGGCTGGAGAAGAGAGGGAGAGGGGGCTGAGTGGGCTGAGAAAAGATTAGCAGAGGTGATCAAGGTATGATTCACGTTATACTATTTTGCTCTCTCTCTCTCTCTCTCTCTCTCTCTCTCTCTCTTTCTCTCTCTCTCTCTCTTCTCTCTCTTCTCTCCTTCACCTATCCTTCTCACCTCCCTATCCCTCTCACCCTTCTTCTCACTCTCTCTCTCCCTCCTTCCCTCTCCTCTCTTCTCTTTTTTACTCCTTCCTCTCTCGTCTCCTTTCTCTCGATTCTTTCCTCTCTCTTTCTCCCTCTCTCTCTCTCTCTCAGCTTTCGTCTCTCTCCCTCTCTTTCTCTCTTCTCTCTTCTCTTTTCTCTCTCTCTTCTCTCTTCTTCTCTCTTCTATTCCTTGCTTCTCCTCTCTTCTCTTCCCCTCTTTTTCGGTTTCATCTCACGTCATTCTTCTTCTCGATCTCTCTCTCGTCTCTCTTCTTCTTTCTCTTCTCTTCTCACTCGTTCTCTCCTGAATTTTTCTCTCATCGGTTTACTCTCTCCTCTCTTCTTCTCCTTACCTATTCCATTTCTCCCTTCCCCTATCCCTCTCACCTCTTCCTGTCTCAACTCTCGGTCTCTTCCCTCCGTTCCTCTCCTCTTCGCTTGGTCCTCTTTGTACTGGCCTTCCTCTCTCTTTCTCTCTCTCGTCTCTCCGCCATGTCGTCTCTCTCTCTCTGTGCTCTCTCTATCTCTCTCATCGTCTCGTCTCTCTCCTCCGGCTTTTAGATTCCCTCTCTCTCGTCCTCTCGTGGTCATCGTCTCGTCGTCCTCGTCTCGGTCTGCTCGTTCTCTCCTCGGTCAACTCTCACGGTCCATAGATCTCGCACGCATGGCTCAACTCTCACTGCATCACTCGCTCATCTCGTCTCTCTTCAGTCTCTCTCTCTCTCGACTATGACGTCTGCTACTCGTCGAGGTCTCTTCTCGGGCTCGTCTCTCGTCCTGCTAGGCGGTCTTCTCTCGGTCTGGTCTTTATTCGACTCTCGTGCCGAGTCTCTCTCTCTCGCGTGTCGCTCCCTTAGGGGGTGTCTATGCGTCTCACTCTCTCTCTGCTCTCTCCTCTCTCCGTTCTCTCCGTCTCTCCTCTCTCTCGCTCTCCATCCCGTTATCTTTCTTTTATGTTCCTCTCTTCTCTCTCGTCCCTCATCTCGTCTCTTCGTCTCTCAGTCTCTCTCTCCTCTCCTGTCTCGGCTCCCTGTTCGCTTCTCCTTCTCTTCTCTCTTCTCTCTGCTCTCTCTCGTCTCTCTCTCTCCTCCCTTTCCTACCCGTTCCCTCTTCCCTTTTCTCCCTCCACTCTTTTTTGCCTTCTCTCTCTTCTCTTTACTCTCTCTCCTCTTCTCTCTCTCTCCGTCTCCCTTTCTCTCCCCCTCTCCCTCTGCCTTTCTCCCTCACTCCTCCTCTCCCTTTCTCCCTCACTCTCTCTCTTTTTCCTTCCCTCTCTCTTCTCTCTTTACTCCTCTCTCTCTCTCTCTCACCTTCTCTTTCTCTCCCCCTCTCTCCTCTCCTTTCCTCCTCACTCTCCTCCTCTCTCCTTTCTCCCTCTCTCCTCTCTCTCCCATCACCTGCGCTGTGGTCACGGGCCATTCATCAGCAATGGGCTTCTCCCTCTCTCTCGTCTCTTTTTACTCCTCCCTCACTACTCTCTCCACTCCTTCCTCCCTTCCTTCCTTCCCATTCTCCTTCCTATCTTCGCTCTCTCCTCCCTCCCTCCCTCCCTCCCTCTCCCACTCCCACTCTCCCTCCTTCCCACCCTTTCCCTCTCTCTCCCTCTTTCCCTCCCTCCCTACCTCCATCTCCCACTCCCTCTTCCTTCTCTCTCTCTCACACTCACCTTCTGTGTCACCCCATCATCAGCATGGGCTCTCTCCACTCCTTCCTCCTTCCTTCCTTTTCCTTCCTCCTTCCACTCTCCATCCCTCCCTCTCCCATTCCCTCCTCTCCCTCTCCTCTCTTCTCCCACTCACCTGCTGCGTCACCCCATCATCAGCATGGGCTCTCCCACTCCTTCCCTCCTTCCCTTTTCCTTTCTCCCTTCCTCCTTCCCACTCTCCATCCCTCCCTCTCCCATTCTCCCTCCCTCTCCCTCTCCCTCTCTCTCCCACTCACCTGCTGCGTCACCCCATCATCAGCATGGGCCAGGTGGTTGGCCGAAGTCACCATCGCATTGTTGATGTAATACTTCTGATGCTCCCAGCCCGTGATGGGGGCGTTGCCAGAGGGTATTTTTGTTATATAGAGCCTGGGGTTCCCCGGAGCTCGTGTTCAGTTCGTCTGGAGTCTTGGACGGTGTATGTTGGCTGTGGGGGAGGAGGAGAAAATGTGATAAACGCGGTATTAAATGAATGCAAGAGAAATAGAATAAAATAGAAGAAGAAGGAAGAAGATAGAGAGATGTTGGCTGTGGGGGAGGAGGAGAAAATGTGATAAACGCGGTAATTAAATGAATGCAAAGATAAATAGAATAAAATAGAAGAAGAAGGAAGAAGATAGAGAGATGTTGGCTGTGGGGGAGGAGGAGAAAATGTGATAAACGCGGTAATTAAATGAATGCAAAAGATGAATAGAATAAAATAGAAGAAGAAGAAGAAGAAGAAGATAGAGAGATGTTGGCTGTGGGGGAGGAGGAGAAAATGTGATAAACGCGGTAAATTAAATGAATGCAAAGAGAAATAGAATAAAAATAGAAGAAGAAGGAAGAAGATAGAGAGATGTTGGCTGTGGGGAGGAGGAGAAAATGTGATAAACGCGGTAATTAAATGAATGCAAAGATAAATAGAATAAAATAGAAGAAGAAGGAAGAAGATGGAGAGATGTTGGCTGTGGGGGAGGAGGAGAAAATGTGATAAACGCGGTAATTAAATGAATGCAAAGAGAAATAGAATAAAATAGAAGAAGAAGAAGAAGGAAGAAGATAGAGAGATGTTGGCTGTGGGGGAGGAGGAGAAAATGTGATAAACGCGGTAATTAAATGAATGCAAAGATGAATAGAATAAAATAGAAGAAGAAAAGAAGGAAGAAGATAGAGAGATGTTGGCTGTGGGGGAGGAGGAGAAATGTGATAAACGCGGTAATTAAATGAATGCAAAGAGAAATAGAATAAAATAGAAGAAGAAGGAAGAAGATAGAGAGATGTTGGCTGTGGGGGAGGAGGAGAAAATGTGATAAATGCGGTAATTAAATGAATGCAAAGAGAAATAGAATAAAATAGAAGAAGAAGGAAGAAGAAGAGAGATGTTGGCTGTGGGGGAGGAGGAGAAAATGTGATAAACGGGTAATTAAATGAATGCAAAGAGAAATAGAATAAAATAGAAGAAGAAGGAAGAAGATGGAGAGATGTTGGCTGTGGGGGAGGAGGAGAAAATGTGATAAACGCGGTAATTAAATGAATGCAAAGAGAAATAGAATAAAATAGAAGAAGAAGGAAGAAGATAGAGAGATGTTGGCTGTGGGGGAGGAGGAGAAAATGTGATAAAAACGCGTAATTAAATGAATGCAAAGATAATAGAATAAAATAGAAGAAGAAAGGAAGAAGATGGGAGAGATGTTGGCTGTGGGGGAGGAGGAGAAAATGTGATAAACGCGGTAATTAAATGAATGCAAAGATAAATAGAATAAAATAGAGAAGAAGAAGGAAGAAGATAGAGAGATGTTGGCTGTGGGGGAGGAGGAGAAAATGTGATAAACGCGGTAATTAAATGAATGCAAAGAGAAATAGAATAAAATAGAAGAAGTGGGAAGAAGAAGGAAGAAGATAGAGAGATGTTGGCTGTGGGGGAGGAGGAGAAAATGTGATAAACGCGGTAATTAAATGAATGCAAAGAGAAATAGAATAAAATAGAAGAAGAAGAAGGAAGAAGATTGAGAGATGTTGGCTGTGGGGGAGGAGGAGAAAATGTGATAAACGCGGTAATTAAATGAATGCAAAGAGAAATAGAATAAAATAGAAGAAGTGGGAAGAAGAAGGAAGAAGATAGAGAGATGTTGGCTGTGGGGGAGGAGAAAATGTGATAAACGCGGTAATTAAATGAATGCAAAGATAAATAGAATAAAATAGAAGAAGAAGGAAGAAGATAGAGAGATGTTGGCTGTGGGGGAGGAGGAGAAAATGTGATAAACGCGGTAATTAAATGAATGCAAAGAGAAATAGAATAAAATAGAAGAGAGGAAGAAGGAAGAAGATTGAGAGATGTTGGCTGTGGGGGAGGAGAGAAAATGTGATAAACGCGGTAATTAAATGAATGCAAAGAGAAATAGAATAAAATAGAAGAGAAGAAGAAGGAAGAAGATAGAGAGATGTTGGCTGTGGGGGAGGAGGAGAAAATGTGATAAACGCGGTAATTAAATGAATGCAAAGATAAATAGAATAAAATAGAAAAGAAAAGGAAGAAGATTGAGAGATGTTGGCTGTGGGGGAGGAGGAGAAAATGTGATAAACGCGGTAATTAAATGAATGCAAAGAGAAATAGAATAAAATAGAAGAAGAAGGAAGAAGACTGAGAGATGTTGGCTGTGGGGGAGGAGGAGAAAATGTGATAAATGAATGCAAAGAGAAAATAAAAGAAATTAGAATGTGGGAGAAGGAGAAAATGTGATAAATACCGTAATTATTGAGATAAATAAAAAGAAAATAAAAATCAAAGAGGAAAGGTGAGAATGATGGGAATAAATGGAAAGAAAAAAGTAAAGAAAATAGAAAGAGGGAAGAAGGAATAAATGTGACAAACGACGTAATTAAATGAATGTAAAGAGAAAATAAAAGAAATTAGAATGTGGGAGAAGGAGAATATGTGATAAATGCGGAAATTAAATACAAAGAAAATAAAAATAAAA